CTGAACCGAGACGCTTGGATACTGCTCTCACCACAGGTCTTAACTCACGAGAGGAAGAGTTCCGTTTTGTACGAATGCACTGATGAATTTGATCCCCAAGTCACAAGGCAAGCCTTTCCCACCTTTTCCAGTAAAACCAATAGTCAGCATTTAAAGGAGCGACCAATAACTACCCTTGTGAGTTTGTATGAATTGGGAAAGCTACATTGCAACTCAGTATGAAAAGTAAGTGAAAAAGAATCTTGGGTTTTTTTTCATTTTTCTTCTGCAAAACTACATCTCCTGTACTCAGCTACTTACTTACGACCTTCTAAGATGTTGAACTCCTACAAAAAAGAAAGTTACACACAAGAAACCACCTTGTCTCCGGAACAGCATCCCACAAACACAACTACTCAGCTGGCTTGTGTGCTAGTGCACGCTTCTGTCTCCCACCTCACCCTACATGTTTATCCTTAATCACGCATAAAAGAAAGAGCTAGTGAAAACAAGAGTCCCGCTCGGAGATGCCAGCAGCACGATTCCAGTGTCCAGCCTTCTAAAGGTACGCCAAGGGCCAGCTCCAAAGAGATCTGGCACCGAGATCTCCATTCAGCCACCTGACCGCTTGCAGTATATTTTCATAAATACGCTCTTATGTTTAATGCAAACAATCCAACCTCGCTTAGTAAACCCTCGAGGCAAGTTTCAGCTTTGTTCTTCCTCTTCACAGAGGTATTTTCATTCGCACGCACTTTGATGTTATGCTTCTGAAATCAAACTTACATCGCCCTCCCATGTGTAACTACTCTTTTCTGGATTATTCCCATCTTCTACACAGTTCAAACACACTCCCTGGATTTTCAAGAGGGATGTAGGGAAGTGGGTAAGGATTGCATGCTTTCTACTGAACTTTCTCCCCAGTACAGCTTCTAGTTTAAACACTATACAGATTCCACCCGAGATCTATAAATCTCTTCAAATAAACTGTCAGAACAAGATTTATGAAAACTCCCTCTCCCTGGTGTTCTCTAACCCAACTCAAAATTCCTCGTCGACTGTTTTTGTTTCAAAATACCACCAGTCTAAAAACACTATCATAAGCAAACCAGCAGCGAGCCACAGATTATTAGTTAGGAATCAGTACAGAATATTTATCTAAGTGAATCAAGATGAAATGGAATATAATCCCTTGTTTAATTTTGACAGGAGAAAAAAAGTATAGTTTTTGGTGTGTGTTTTTAAAGGATACAAAGCTTGTTCAAAGACATCCACAAAATGCCTCAGGGCAGAAATGACCCTGCCAGCGTTTCTCTTACGCTCAGAATGTATGTCACAACAAAATATATTTAGTTTACCCACAATCAATATTTATTTACCTATGGTGTAAAAACACAAAGTTTGGCTTTTGTAAATCTTTGTTTCAGTTGCCAGACATGCTAAGACATCTGTATTTGGCTTACTTTTCTAGTGGTTTTTTGTAACGAATGACACACTTGATTACAAATTACATGTATGTTGATTAGAAATTCATGAATTACTCTATTAAGCTTTAATAACAGCTCTCATGTCAAATGTTTAGCATTATAGAAGTCTTACCTCAAAAATTTCAAAGCCATAGATATCCAGCACCCCCATTACCTTCTTTCTCACTTTGGTTTGTGCCTTAAAAAAAAAAATTAAACATTGAGTCAATCATCTGTACATTTCGTACTTGGGAATCAAGAAAAATAACGTATCTCCTAAGCAGGCTGTCAAATTCTGTAAACTAAAATATATTAAGTATGGTTTCCCAAAATACACTTAAAGTGATTATTTTCATAAGCTTCAAAACGGAGCAGACAGAAGTGTGCTGAGCTGCGATACGGTTCTTCACCGGTCCCGCGTGTAGCAGTGCCCAGCCAGGAGCAACGAGACCGACGAGCACAGTTTTGCTGTCCACTTTAACCGAAAGGATCTCTACTGATTTTTTTACCATCACAAACCAACAATACCTTAATGCTCTCGTTGATCCTGGTAACGAGCCACGAGAACAGCCGGCTGTATAAATTCTTAGCCAGAGCATCACGGGCGTAATAAGCCTAAACAGGAGAAAGAAGAAAAATGCTGTAAACGCCGGGCTAATGCCAACGTTTTTACGTTACTGACGTATCCTAAAGGTGCCACGAACGGAGCGCGAACGGCTCCGGCAGCAGCGCCTCTGCCCAAAGAGGCACCGGAGCCAGGACTCGCACCCCGCATCCCAATCCTCAGCCAAGGGACTCGGGAAAGGACCTTGCTACTAGCCCGAGCTGGTCAGACACAGGTGGCAATCGCGCTGGCTCTGCAGCCTCCCCGAAACAGAAATTCACACGGCGGCCAAAGTTCTTCTGCAGCCCGGGGCGCAGAACTCGCGTGAAATTACACCAGCTGCTCTGCACGAGAGCAGTCTGCCACGGCGCGTTCAACATGTTGCAGAGAATGGAAAAATGAAACGGTTCTGCACGTTTTCCTACCCCTCGGATTTTTGAGGCCATTCACACAAAAAAGCAAAACATCCTTATATTTGAACACTTACAAACTGCTGAAGGAAAACCAGACTTACGCTAGCGATATGGTTTATCCATTACAGCCTATTAGATGTAGTTTTTATTTGGGCAGTTACAGTTTATCATGTAGAATAAATTGCCAGTTAAAACGACTCTCTCCTTTAAAATCAGGACGACTTTTTACCTGAGCCACATTTAGCGTCGTCGAAACTTTCTCTTGCTTGGCCTCAACCGTCCGGAAGCTGAAAGCCCTTTCCAGTACAGACTGGTCTATACCTGTCAACTCGCAGATTTCCTTGAGTTCTAGCGTGAAAAAGGGGAGGGGAAATATCATAAATCCCTTCGTATCATGGCTTTTTCTTCCCCAAAACTACGAACTTTTAAGGAGTTCAGTATTTTCCCAAAACAGATTTTCTTCAACAGAAGCGTCCCCCATCCACGCTCTCCCCCCGACCCTGCCAAGCAGTTACTGGGTTTGAAAGCACTTTCTATCTGGTTACTTTTGGGAAGAAACTTTTCTTCCATTTATCAGAGACTAATTATTACGATGAAAAAAAACTTTCAAATGAAAATAAATGAACTTTCAAAATGTATCACCTGCAAAAACACGGCCAGATGAATCTGACGTTACAGGCAGAGCCACCCTAGACTAGAAAAGCACAAAAAGCCCGCGTTGCAAAGTAACCAGGGAGCTACAGAAATTCAGAGCACCATTTAACATCTCAGAAGAAAGTGTTAGTAAAGTTTTAATAAAGTTAAAAAAAAGAAAATAATAATTTTTTTTAATTCAAGCAGAGCGATGGAAATTGCAGCACGGAATTCGACCCATATTTGCCTGCGGGTGAGTTTTGGAAACAACCTAATTTAATTCATCTGTAAGGATACTGCATGTCTACAGAGACTACAAAATTAATAACGACTTCAGACAAATTAGTGGTTTTCCTCCCATCCCTAATCTCACATCTTACCATTTTTATCTTTGATTTTACTTTCATCTAGGCCATTCACGCGAGACTCAGGCTTAAATTCAATATTTCCCAACTTCAGAACGGCTGCCACCACTTCAAAAACAGACTGTGTTTCATGATCCATAAAACCAACAATCTGCATTGCATTCTGGAAAGGGGACAGATAAAATTACGAGCTAAAAGAACCTGCATTTAAACAGATCGTACTTGCAAAACTCACCAATTATCTGCATTAGCATAAAAAAGAAAGGTTTTATGAATTCCTCTGCTACAAAAAGAACATGATACAATTACCATGCTTAGATAAGCAAGCTTTTTAATATAAAAGACAGGTTGCAGAAGAGCTTGTAACTGAGCTGGCACGTCAGTCCAGTCCGCTCCTACGATTCATTCAGTTTACAGGTTTCTAAAATGCAGCACTTTTTTTTATTCACTTAATTTAGTTTATAACTGAACCCAATTTTTCACAGTCAAACAAACAGGTACTTCTCTCTTCTCAGTCCACTCTGTTGCTTTAAAAGCCAACAACTTTTAGAATCTAAGTTTGCAGTGGGTAACAGGGTCCTGTATTCTTCTTGTACCTGAGTAAAACCAGGAAGGATGGAGAGGGGCTTTTCACAAGAGTGTGTAGTGATGGGACAAGGGGGAACGGCTCTAAACTAAAAGAAGGCAGATTTACATGAGATATTAGGAAGAAATTCTTCACCGTGAGGGTGGTGAAACACTGGCCCAGGCTGCCCAGAGAAGCTGTGGCTGCCCCCTCCCTGGCAGGGTTCAAGGCCAGGTTGGATGGAGCTCTGAGCACCCTGGGCTGGTGGAAGATGTCCCTGCTCATGGCAGGGGGGTTGGAACCAGATGATCTTTAAGGTCCCTTTCAACCCAAACCATTCTATGATTCTAAGCAAAAACATCACGGTAAATCATCTTGAGAACCATCCCAGCCCTGTTTTTTCAGTCTGGTCAGCACCACCTGGTTGACGAAGCTCAGAATCACAGAATCACAGAATAGTAGGGGTTGGAAGGGACCTCTGTGGGTCATCTAGTCCAACTCCCCTGCCGAAGCAGGGTCACCTACAGCAGGCCGCACAGGACCCCATCCAGGCGGGTCTTGAATATTTCCCGGAGAGGAGACTCCACAACCCCTTCTTTGTTTGTATTCCCACTAGAATACTCCCAAAACTTGGTTCTTTGCATTTTCCAGTTGTAGCTAAGCTTCCCTGCGCAACCACGCTCTACCCTTGCACAAAGAGTGCTAGTACTTGGCGAAGCCGCCCGCCCAGCCCAGCCCAACGGCCTCAGAACCCCGCGTCAGCGTTGAGCCCTCGGGGGTTCACGCCCAGCCCCCGTTACTGCTTACCCTGACCGTTCTGAAGTTTGCAGCATCGTCCACTCCGTTCACTTTGGCAGAATCCAGGCCCAGGTAGTTGTATCTGCTGAAGTCCCGCTCCAGTTTGAGCTTGCCTAATAAATCGAATAAAAATATCGTTAGTAACAGCATTCTTCTTAGTAGCTCTCCTATCCCAAAACCAGTATTGTCAAGAACTGCTCTTATGATTATCAGGATTAAGTTTTCTCTAAGGAGATTTTAATTACAAGCCTAACGAATGAAAATAGGCGTTCTTCTTTGTTTATAATACATTGCGAAGCTCATGCTGACTCAGGTACCTGGATAATACCAAACCATGTACTTACTTCAGGTATTACTCTTGCCACTACCACCAATGATTTAAAAAATGACTCAGCATCACATTTCCCACAACAGGGGATGTGCGTGGCACAGCACACTGAATATAAAGAAGATTCATATCTGAAAATGGCGCAAGGGCAACACTTACAGAGGAAGTCTTCCGACGCACCAGACAGTATCTGGTAGAAAATGTGAAAGTTTCTTTCACCTCTTGGCTGCTTCACCACACGAGACTTCTCTAGCAGGTCTAAACAAACAAACAAAATCTCTCAGGTCAGGGGAAGATCGCTGGAGCAAAACCCTTTAATATGAATATAATCCCCCATCGTTTTCTCCTTCATTGCTTTATGTCATCAGCAGCAAATTAGAAGATGATAAATGGCCAGCATGAACCTTATCACAATGTATCACATATTTCTCAAATAAGTTCTTTGGGCAAGCCGTAAGCCCAGTGCGCTTCTAAACGCTTCAGTCCATGAGCTGCAAAGAAAACGGAGGTCAGGGAGGCAACACGCCCAAAAGACGTCGACCAATTTACAGTGCCACCACAAAACAAAGATTTGGGGAGAATGACTGTAGGGGTGAAGGTTTGAAAAGAACTGGAATGTTAACAGGCTAAGCACATGAAAGGGGGGTAACAAAAGGGGGAAGCGAAATAAAGCAAGAATTTAAACGGAATAATCGTGCAGCACTTTGTGATCTTCAGGTGCAGCAGACCATGAAATAATTCACAGAATCACAGAAGGTTAGGGGTTGGAAGGGACCTCTGTGGGTCATCTGGGCCAACCCTCCTGCCAAAGCATGGTCACCCAGAGCAGGCTGCACAGGACCTTGTCCAGGTGGGTCTTGAATATCTCCAGAGAAGGAGACTCCACAGCCTCACTGGGCAGCCTGGGGCAGGGCTCCGTCACCCTCAGAGTGAAGAAGTTCTTCTTCATCTTCAGACGGAACTTCCTCTGCTTCACGACTGCTTGCTTGACTGCAAACACCTCACACTGCACCGCATTTACCGTGGAGGTGACAGCACAAAGCTTGTTCAGCCGGTACCGCACCGAAAGGCTGAGGGCCCCGGCGCACGGGGAGAGCGATGCGAGAAGAGAACCTCTGGACAGGTATCGGTGTCGCTGGCTGGTTTTGTACAGAAAAACCCCGTTTGTCCTTCTTTTCTCACTGGCACACGAGGGCTCCACACCATTTTCCAGACAGCAAGCCCACAGTTCCCAGTATGCAGTTTCTCTTCAGCTACGCACATTCAGCAGCATGAAGACAGAGACATTCGGCGCCTCATTCCAAGTGCACAGCAAAGGAGATCCCCCACGCACCTACCACTACTGCGTAGCCACCACAGCTTGCTCTGACTGGGGCGAAGTTCTCTCTAAGCTGTGCCCACGCAAGAAGAAAGCCCCAAAAGGGAAATCACCACAGCTTGGATGCCCCCATGCCAGGCTGCAGCCCCCCGGCCCCACCGGCTTTCTGGCTTAGCCAAGGAAAAGCGTCTGCCCCAGAGTTTGCTCCATGAACGGAGGTGCAAGGAGGAGAGCAAGAGAGCATATTCATATTTTCGCCAGCTACAGGCAGCATGCTGTGCCTGTGTTGCCCACTGTAATTACCTAAGCTTACACCCTTTCCTGTGGAATAGGAACCAGAGACCACAATCTTCAACCCACAAAATTATACAAAGCCTAGGAGGCCCTCCTCCAAATAAGCAAATTTCAAATATTTTACAGACCAGAGGAACTATTATTCCATAAACATGCAATTGCTTGAGAGCAGAGGAGCAACCATGGTAGTAGGTGACAGCGAAAGTAGGTGCCAACGACCAGAGCATCTGACTGCATGAAGATGAATCCCTCTTCACCACCGAATGCATCGTGTGACTACGTCAGAACTTCGGCCTTGTTGGAATAGACATTTGTGTTTTTATAATTCAGTAACCCTGCAGTCTCTTCCCTTCCAAAGGTGGCCCTGCTTCAGCACCGGGAAGCTTTGCACATCCTGATGACAAAGTACACCCAAGACACAGCCAAACAAGTGGCTGTCGCATATGGCCAGCAGCTCATCTTTATGGTAGGACAGGGCAGGCTACAGATCTCCACTTTCATTTTTCCCATTTTGTTGGCTTTTTCTTTTGTTTTTTTTTTTTTAATCACAGATGACTAACGCCTGATGGCTGATGCTATGTTGGAAAGATACAGATCAGAAGGTGTAATTCTCCCCAGCAGCCTAGTGTGCAACCTCAGCTTCATCTGGAGTACTGTGTCCAGTTCTGGGCTCCCCAGTTCAAGAAAGATGAGGAGCTACTGGAGAGAGTCCAGCGGAGGGCTATGAGGATGATGAAGGGACAGGAGCATCTCTCCAACGAGGAAAGGCTGAGGGAGCTGGGCTTGTTTAGCCTGGAGAAGGCTGAGAGGTGACCTTAGAAATGCCTACAAATATCTGCAGGGTGGGTGTCAG